AGCCACTTGTGTTTTTTTTTATATAAAAATCTATTTTTTCAAACCAAACCACTCGTCCTCGCTTCAGTCCACACATTGATACTACTTTGCCTCGTGATCCCTTCTTACCCGTGCACACAACCCAACATCCCACCTCGCCGAGGTTGGGACTCGCGAATTCGCCTCAGTTTTTTCTCTATGGCTTTGTCTGCCGAACGATTTTTAGGCGACTACGTTGCGGTATTTAGATTTGGGTGTGCTCTTATGGCGCATTGCATACACCAAATTGTTGTTGCTTGCCCATAATAAGCACATTACTTCCTTGTCGTTTTCGTTGTTTCTGTGCTTGTTCTTACCTCTTACCAATGATGTGCAGATGAATGCCTTTGAATGCGATTCATACAAAATGCATTTCATCCCTTATTTAGATGAGTCTCTTGTTGTTTTTTTTTTAACGCTTAGTTAATAAAATTTTAGAAACTTTATTTTTCTAAGGCTTGTAAATATTTCACACGATCATTTTCTCTTCTTTTTCGTATCTTCAATAGCTTTTCATAAACAATTTTTTTTTAGTTTCACAACTCGTTTATAATTTGTCACGAGTCTTCTTGGGCAGGGTAAACTTAGCCACTCCAGGACTCTTTCCTAGAATAAATATAAAGATTACTTGGACCTTCGGTTTCGGTTTTATGGTTTTACTTATTCAAATTTACAAGGAAATTTTGGTATTTACGCGAATCTTAAGAGGCGTGGGGGAAGAACCAGCGTGGTGACCCGACTGTTCTGGAGCGTTTTTACTACTTCTTATTCGTAGACCATTTATTATCGTACTTTCTCTTTCCCGTTTCCGTATCGCGAGTTTCTGTAAAAGAGGGGAATACGCCGTGAGCGTCATAGCAGCTTGCGTTGGCCTTCAGGGCCACTTCAGGGTCCCTAATCGCGTCTTATCGCAAGAGTGAGTGTCCATCGTCCTTCAGGGATGGCGAGTAAGCTAATCCTTCCATCTCCTATCCGTAAAGTCAACAGTCCTATTAGTCCTTCAGGGATGGCGATTAAGTTAAACAATCCATCCCCTATCCGTAAAGTCAACAGTTCTATTTGTCCTTCAGGGATGGCGATTAAGCTAAACCTTCCATTTGCTATCCGTAAAGTCAACAGTCTTATTAGTCCTTCAGGGATGGCGATTTAGGTAAACCTTCCATCCCCTTTCCATAAAGTCAACAGTCCTATTAGTCCTTCAGGGTTGGCGATTAAGCTAAACCATCCATCCCCTATCCGTAAAGTCAACAGTCCTATTAGTCCTTCAGCGATGGCGATTAAGTTAAACCTTCCATCCCCTATCCGTGAAGTCAAAAAAAAACCCTTTCAGTGAAAGTCAACTAGTTGTGTCCGTGATCAATTGCCTCTTGACTGCTATGACACAACTGAAATGCTGAGCGTGGTGCGACACGCTCTTTTATAGCCGCGATCACCACCGCTGTTCCGTTACATGTATGTTCTAGGCTGCACTTGCTTACATGTGTATTGCGACGGTATTCTGATATATCTAATGTTACGTATGCTATCTTAGGTTTGATCGAACTTGTTAGTTCAGCTCTGACTTGTATACAAATGCTTCTCTTATGCATATCTTAATGTTAACACTACCTTACGTACGAGATCGTATGATCTCCGCGTATGCTACTTAGGTTTTATCGGACAATGTTTGCGGGTATTTACTAATACTATCTTACGTGTATTTTATTGCTAGTTAGGTACCAAATCATATGAAATCGCATGTTTTTCCTTCATAAGCCGCAGAACCGTTACGTACGCCTTCCTACGATAGATACCACGTGTACTTTTACAAACCCTTTTCCTATTGCCTGTTGCTTGCATGCGCATTTTTACGTCTGTTCTATTGTCATTGTTGATCTATGCTTTGTCCCCCGTTATGTATGTGAGTGTCAGACTCGCTATGCTTCTTTGTATGCCTATTCTTCTGTTCGCAACACTGACATAGTTACTCTCAATCTACTTTTGTAAAACGCTAACTCAGGTACCAAATCGCGTGATTTGGTGACCGTTAGGTCTATGCTCCTAATATGTTTTCTTAGGCAAAAATTTATGCCCTTTGTTTACGCATGTTCTACTGTATATGCTTTTATCATTTGCTCTACCATATACCTTTGTATTGAACGGTTATGTATGTTCTAATGTATGTACATTTATACATTTTGTTTTTGTATACCTTTAAGTCTTCGTTTATATTTGTTCTAATATATACATTTGGATTGAACGGTTGATGAGGGAGAAGGATGATCATAAATAAAAGACATGTGAGAGAAAAACCAGACTGACCGCTTGGAATCTACGGGTAGACATGTGCGTGGATGCAATTTCCTTTATTAGTAAAGGAGCGAAACGATTCCTTACAAAGTTTTCTGTCTTTTTTTTGATTGGTCAAAATATAGGACCGTAGATTTTCCGAGAAAACCTCCGCTTTTCTTCCAGTACATTTCCCTTTTTGTTAACCGTTTGTATATTAGTTTTTTTTCCCAATAACTCCAAAAAATTTCAATAACGCTTGCTACTCTTTTTGCTCATCTTTTCTTTTTTTTTTCTATATTTTTCTTTGAAAGTCTAAACTAGTTCTTTTATGTTTCTTTTTTTCCGATCACTCAAAACTTCACTCCCATTTGCTAGGCTTTTGCTTATCTTGTCTGTTTTCTTTCTTTTTTTTTTTTGAACAAAAAAATAACATAAAGACTTTATTTAATGCTGAACACGTTGTCACCTGCATATCTTGAAATATTGACCTTTAACCTCTTTGGCAGTTTTGGATGCTCACCGATTACTTCGTACGTCTGTACACGATACAACAAAAAATCTAGAATGTACGTGAGATTTGGTTTGACAAAATGAAAAGAAATTGTATATTGCGAACAACCGCTTATAGATGCAAATAAATGCTAAGCCATTAAGAGAAAAAAGGTATACAATTCATATAAGGAGTCTATCTAATTCAATTTATTAGCCTTTGTTTAAATTTTTTTTAAAATAAATTTTAATATTTTCATCACATTTGTTTGATGTTTTTTATTTCGTTTGTTTGTTTACTTACTTTTCATTCTCTACTGTTTGCACGCACGTCGATAGCGCAAACATTCCGAACGAGAATCTCAATTTGATGCCAAAGCAATGGAGTACCCTCAACCCAAGCAGCGATCGTATCCACCGCCACGGAGGTCGACCTAGAGGAGTTGTCATCGAGTGCGCATTCGTTTCGGCAATCATTCTCGATAGTATCGTTCATGCGTTGATATAATTCGACTGCTGCCGAATCGAAAAAAGCGTTTCAATCGAGACATACACGTTAAAATGATTGTCATTTCAATAGTGTGCGAATAACAATATATATTGTAACGAGTTTCCTTAGGCGGGGTATACCCAGTCAATCCAGGATCCGTTGCAAGAAAATTTTAATAAATAATCAGGACCTTCGGGGGGAATGGTGGTAAGATCTCTTAGCTTTATTGGTTCCTCTTTACTGGACGGAAGTTTGAAATGGCTGGGGCAAGGAACCAGCGAGGTGACCCGACTTGTCGCGTTGTTATCGTTTTACGGTATTACTTCTGACGTTAGGATTCTGTTACGGTTTAAATCGCGGGGTGCTGGAAGAAAGAACCGGAACCTTTGCCAGTGTCATAGCTGCCTAGGCTCGCCTGTTTGTCCCTGGTTGGTGGGTGAGTCCCGAGCAATAGTAAAAAAACAAATGTCTCTCAGTCTTTCAGGGATGGCGATTGATACCAACCGTCACATCCCATATCCGTAATGTCATTTGTTCTACAAAGTCTTTCAGAGATGGCGATT